CCTCATTACCACTTGCTCGTGTTTGTATGTCAGGTCATATATTAAGTCTGTTACTCGTCTCTGAACGAGAACAGAACCTAACCTCATAGGGAATCTCATAACGAGAATATGTTCTCTAAAAGTGTTACGTTCATTTATTTGTTTGTTTACTGACAGGAATCAATCTATTGCCTGAAACATGACAGAATTAGGTTCCTCTTTGTTTTTTCTTTTGAGCTAAGATGTCAAATGGCACACGTGCAGAGTTTATTATCTCAAAACCATTAACTAAAAAGAGGTCAGGGTGTTTTTTTTGTTTGTTTTTTTGCTCATTAAGTTTAGTGTATTGAGGACCTTGCAAATATCTCACTCCTAGGTTCTTGTCAATTCATGACGAGCTTATCCCTAATAAATTAGCCTGAAAATCAATAGTTAAGCAGTTTCTGAGGCAATAGTTGCAACTTCATGTTTTGTCACATTGAACTGTGTAACTTTCCTGTGGTTTAAGTTTCCCACAGTGATGAAAGGGCTCAATTCAGAACTGAAAGATGTTACATAACTGTCAGCAAACCAACCCCCCATCCCCCAACCCCCTTGATAGACACTGTTTTAAAGCAGATACTGGTTAGAAAAATGTTTTCTATTAGCAGATTTTGAATCTGTCAGCCTCTGCTTATGGACACTGTGTCTACAGGCCTCAAGAGATGAAATGTCCAGAAAACCACTGTCACTGTGCTGACAAAAGAAAACCAGACAGTTGGATGGTTGTTCTTTTGATCTTTGGGGGGGAAACTTGTCATGCTGTGGTTAACTGTGATCGGCTAATCAACAGGAATACACATGGTTGCTTTATGACAGCCCTGCAGTTTGGCTGGAGAGGCAAGATGACAGCTCACTACGGGGCAAAATGTAAAAGCCAGTGACCATGATGCCTGATGTTGATATTTTAGCCCTTCACAGAAAGATAGCTTCATAACTTGGCGTTTCTTGAATATCCCCACCTAGTATCTACACTGTAAAAAATTACAGTGAATTTAGCGGTAAAAGACTGTAAAAATGCTACAGTAAAAACCTGTTAAATGGTTAACGGTAAATTCCCCTACTATATACGGTAAAAAACTGTATTGGACATTAATTTTACGGTAGTATACCGTTTTTGGAAGTGAAAAAGTGAATAACCGTAAATTGACATTCCCAGAATTCCCTGCTTTACATTTCAAATTTGATGTTTTTTGTTGTTGAAATAACTGTTTCTTCTTAGTTTTTTCTTGTCAGTTTTGTATATTAGGGTTGTGTGTTACTCCTAATGTTGTTAAATGAATGTTTATTGCATTATTTCAGTTTCATGTGTGTTACCATGATGGTGTTTAGCGTTTGTGTGAATGGCACTGTGCACCTTCTATACATGTTATTATTTAAAAGCTGCTTGTGATGGACTTTGGTTCATTATGTGACTTTTTCATCACCACCTGCATTTGGTGGTTATCAGTTTATTACAAAGGTACAAAACAGATTTCAGTACTTCAATAGGTTGGTATATTAACATTATATCAGTTAATGAACTTACGGTATTTAACTGTAAATTTAAGTTAGAACCGTAAAACCTAAAACGTTGCTACCGTATTTTTTTACGGTAAAATTCCGGCAACCACAGCTGCCGTATTTTTACCGTAAATTTTACGGAATTTTTTTTACAGTATAAGGATGTGAGTTGTGGGGATAAGCAGAAGTATTGTGTGAAGACATCTGGTCTTAAACACTTGAAGAGGAAGAACTGCTGTCTGTTTTTTTGCCAGACCAATGTGACTGAAGAGCTGGTGGATCAGATCATTTTTCTCTTTTGCGTAAGATTTCAGCCTTTTTATTATCCCAAGTCCAACCTCTAAACTGTACCGCTGGTCTTTTTAATCTTCTTGCATATGAATCCGCGGGGTACAATTAACAAATCGCACCAAGCATGCACTTTTAACCTCAGGTCATCATAAACAATTACTGTCAGTGTACTGGGTTAATTGAAGTCTCACGGCTGAGCACAACACTGGCTTTCCAGCAGACCTCCTACTTCATCTGAATGGCTGACACAATAGATTCACTACATATACATGCTCAATTACCTTTCATACAACATAAAACACCTTCGAGTCATCAGTAGGGGGTCCAACTGTCATTGTTCCAGAATATTTATCTTCTAATGTCTCTTTAATATCTGCAGTCTAAAAGATAATCTTTGTTTTTGCCCTGTTGAAAAATGTTGGGGGTTAATTCCATGCTGACAATGACTGACTGAATGAGAAAATTAAATATAAATCACATACAAGCAGTCACACTGTATATCACATTAGCGCTTTGAGTCACACAAGTTTGAGTCCTAGCTCTTCTTTCTTTGCTGCAACTGTTCATAAAATTAAATTAAATAAAATAAAAAAGCTAAATAAATAAATAAAATATGAATGAAGACATGACACTATAAACTAATGCAGTACGCAGAAGTTAGCCAATATGTTATTTACATATGCTGCCATTTTTATGCAAGAAATTAAAGGATGTTTTATTATTATTATATATTTTTTAACTGATTATTTATGGTGCATCTCTCTCTCTGGTGTGTGAGAAGATGAATTTAATAAATAGTTGCAGTAGAAAAAAAGATCAGCAAACTGTTATGTTTAAGTTTTGTAAAAAACATGACATAACTTATTGTGTTTTTATGAAGCAGTTAAGTGAACAATTCAATAATTCACTCAAACATGCAATAACGGTCATTGGTCATCACACAACGAATCTGAACAAATATTTTTGACAGACAGATTCAAAAGATTTGAGTCAAGGGGATGAATCAAATTCTCCACTTCTACACGTAAAATAAAAGATGAGCTACAGCACATTTTAGGTTTGGTAAAAAAACTAAATAAAAAAAGAATAAAATTGCTACATTTTTGTGTATTTAAAAGTGAATAGGTATATTGATTTATTCCAAATAAATATTTGAGAAAAAAAGGTTTAATGCCTCTAATCAAGGCAAATCCATGGATACATTCTTCCTCTGAAAGACATCCTGGTACCATTAAAAAAAAAAAATCAGATTTGATTTGACTGCAGTATGCATCAGATGGTCAGTAAATGGACTGTAAGTGTGCTATCTAACAGTCGAGACTGAAATAAACAACTTGTCTAACGTTATAAATGGATCTCACAAAAGTAATAGGTTTTGATGAGACGATTTGAAGGAGGGATATCCTCACAGCCTACACGGGGCAGGGCTAATTGCCGCTGTCATGGCTGAGTGGCCAAGAGGTTCACTCATGCCTGAGACTGTGACACTTCAGCAAAATAATTGAGTTGCTCACATTGACTGTCCTGTCACTGCTTTGTGTTTAAACACTGGCGACACGATGTGAAATCTCATCTCTGGCTTTGCATACACTAGCCTGTGATTTTATCTCTATTACTTTCTTCTCGTTCCTGAGGTGATGGACGTGACACCTTTTATCTATCACTCTGGGAGCTGTACAAATACACTGCAGAAGTCGAGAGTGAGATCTACGGGCTCGGTGCCTGCATTAACTTAAGAGCTTTGCAGACATTTGAGTCCTTGACCCAGCTCAACCTGTGCCTACATATTCCCTCACATCCACACACTGTCCCCCGCTGCTTTCTGCCTCTTTGATGCAACATGCCCACCTGCAGCTGTCTGTAGTACTGAGCTATTGCATAATTAATTTGTAATGTGTGTAACTAGTCATAATTTGATGGGGAACAGCTGCTTAATGATGAGTAAAATGAAAGGAGGATGGTAAGTTTCAGTGCTGTGTTTGGTAGCGGTTGAAACGGTTCAGTGTTCAGTTTGTGTCATGGTTTTGTGGTGAACGTTTCACTGCCATCCAGTAAATATTTGATATATTGGTTTATTAAGTACATTCAGGAATACAGATGTTGCTGGTATTACCACAATTGAAATACACTGCACTGGAAAATGACAAAAACAAGCAAACAACAACATTTCTGGTGTGTGTCTCTCTCTCTCTAATTCAAATTCACATTAGCTTCATTGGCATAGCTTACATTTGACTGGTGGTGGGTATTAATTTCATAACCCGATCACACTTTTTTTTTTTTTAGATTTACTGAAACTTTTATAAGGTCAGTCTTTTTTGCTGCACCCAAAATAATTTCTCCACTTTATCCCACTTCTCCTTCTTATAACTATGGAAGCCCGTTTCCGGCACTGAATAAAAAAAAAAAAAAAAGGTAATTGTGACTTTTTATCTCACAATTCTGACTTTATTTCTTGCATTTGTGAGTTTAGGCCTGAATTTTTTGCTCAGAATTGTGAGCTATAAACTCACAATTGCGTGTTATAAAGTCAGAATTGGGAGATATAAATGCACAGTTTTAACTTTTTTTCTCAGAATTGTGAGATATAAACTCGGAATTGCGAGTTATAATGTCCACTTGTGAGGAGAAAAAAAGACTATGTTCTCAGAATTGGGAGTTTATAACTCACAATTCTGACTTAAATCGCAATTGCGAGTTAATATCACGCAATTCTGAGAAAAAAAAATAAATCTGAATTGCGAGTTTGTATCAGGCAGTTATGAGAAAACAAGTCACAATTACCTTTCTTATTTTTGATTCAGTGACGGAAACGGGCTTCCATATATAACAGCCCTAGTTGAAATAAAAAAAAAAGTATATTAAAAATAAATTAGTAGGCTAGGCAATAGAAAAATGCTTATGCTGCTTTCAAGTGCACCTGGGAAACTCGAACCCCAAAAAGTGCATCTGAATTCAGATTCACTTATATACATGGCATCAAAATTAAATTATTTGTTATATAAAGCAAACAGTGAAAGTCAAGTGATTAACTTTCCACTCCTGCACCTATAAAATGACTGAGATACAGCATGTAAAATTAAAATAACTTGGAAAATCATTTACTATGATGTGATCTATATTATACATCAGTGTTTCTTCAATGTTTTAAATCGACACTCCACTTCCAACGTCACAACTCGGCAACTCGTGTCCCATTTCCCACATGTAAATACAACCTTACTTTGTCATTCATGTGTTTGGAACGCCTAATTACAATATTTCCACTTACGTGGAACATTATTTGAATATCATTCCTTGTTATTGAACGTCACACTGATATTCAGTGTTTCCTCCTTTCCCGCAGGAGGCGCTGTCCATTTCACTTGGAGGTCACCAGACTGTCAGGAGAGCACACGGTCTGAGAACAGGTGCCAGGCCTGCTCTCTTCTGTCACCCCAGTGCCACTCTGACAGCCCAGGTGAGTGTTTCACACAGTATGATTTATTCACAGCCAGAGCTACTGTGCAAAGCTATGCTATGCTAAGCCCTATCCCAAATGACGACCCAAAGCCCTCACAGTCGCATTCAGACTCTACAGCAGTGATCCTCAAATCTGGCCCACGAGATCCACTTTCCTGCAGAGTTTATCTCTAACCCTAATCAAACACACCTGAGTTTGCTAATCAATGTCTTCAGGATCATTACCCCTTGTGCAAATACCCACACTTGCGGTCTTGGCCACTTGAGAGCGCGTGCGCACGACAGGAAGTAAGTGCGCAAGACTGTCCCAGGTCTTAAAAACGCCAGAGCGCAGTGTCCTTAAAGCACACTAAATCCACACTATCTCGAATACCGCTCCGGAGCGCTATTCGAGGCTTAGTATATCCCATCATGCATCATGTTCTGGAAATAAATCGTGAGACTTTTTGCCGAGATCTCACGAGAGGTCACGGAAACCTTTCCAATGCAAGTTAAATATTAATATGATAATTAGATATTACATATAATTTGGTAGAAAAACAGTGTTTTTACGTTTTATTGGTGCAAAGATGAGTAGTGGTGATATTTATTTGCAACTGCTTTTTATCACTTAATTAAAAGCGCCACACATTAAAATTGTCATGTTATAGGGACTACTGAACAGACATTTAGAAGTTGATTTTAAAATGCAAAGTATTTAAAATTAAAATTTAATTAAAGCACTTGCATTTTTACAACACTACAAGTGTGTCCCATCAGGTAATGAAAAGTTTGACGCACACTTGTGGTCTTCATGCTCACTTGAACACTTGGGCCAAATACAGGAAATACGTCATATAAGTAGTCAAGTGGTCAAGTGCAAAGACCGCAAGTGGGTATTTGGACAAAGCTTTAGAAAATCACAGGTAGGTTTGTTTGATTAGGGTTGGAGCTAAACTCTGCAGGAAAGTGGATCTCGCGAGCCAGATTTGAGGATCACTGCTCTACAGTTTCCTTGGAGTGTGACATCTCATGTTTCTGTTTAAAACCTGGGTGAAGCTATTACAGTCTACTCTATACTAATAGAAATGGTATCAAAAAGTTGTCTAAATTGTCCTTTTGAGGACAGTGTTATCACCATGTAAACAAACTAATTAGTGCAAAAGGCACATATGCAAGCAGCACATACAGTATGCATGGGGCTTTGTGTGTTTGATGGTGAAAATGTGTTCCTTGTGCTCTGTATGCATACCCTAACGTACATGTAAAAACCAAAGTATATTTTGGCCTTAACAACTTGCTCCATCCCTCATTGGAGGATATCATCAAGCTCTTTCTTTTCACAGTCCTGTCAATTCCCAATCAACTTCATTTAAACATTTGTAAAATTGGGTGCATGTTCACATCTCATGTTGACTTGACCTGCAATTTTCATTTTAAGGTCTGAGTGTTTATCTTTAGTGAATTATGATTCAGACTCTCAGGAGCTTTTTATGTTGCTGTGTGCAATTTAGTTCCTGAAGAGCAATCCCAGCATAATCAAATTGATGTCTCCTGTAGTAGCGTTCTTTAGCATGATCATTTCATCCTGGTTTCTACTCATTGTAATTCCCTTAGACAGGAGATCAATTCTGCTAAATCTACCCAGGGAAACATTAGTATTGGCTTTTTCTGCAACACTAGTTTGGTTTGCGAATGATATTTGCATGATATTAAAACATCCCTGTAAGTTAAAGTGTTCACATGTATTAAAGGAGACATATTATGCCCCTTTTTACAATATGTAATATACGTCTCTGGTGTCCCCAGAATGTGTCTGTGAAGTTTCAGCTCAAAATACTCCACAGATCATTAATTATAACATTTTGAAAATGCCTATTTTGAGTGGAAGCAGAAACACGCAGTTTTTTGGGCCTGTCTCTTTAAATGCAAATGAGCAGCTGCTCCCCGCCCCCTTTTCCAGAATAGAGCTGCACCATTACAGCTCGTACCTGCTAAAAAAACATCTGTTTTGGTTCTGATTATCATGTTTATCGTGCTGAAATCATGCGTTTTAAACCATATGAGTTTAAACTTCTGATGGAAGGTTTTCTGAGCGCACACATCCGAAGCACACGGACAGAAAG